TACTGCAGTAGTGTAAATAAATAAATAAGTGAGTGAGTGAGTGAGTGAGTGAGTGAGTGAGGGAACATAATTAAATTAGCCCACTCACCATTTTCCTCTAATGGCAGGTCCAAATCTGCCCAAGTAACCTATTCTGGCATATTGCATATTTTTAAAGGCAGTCACAACAATGCTTTGACCACTCAAACCAGATCTAAGAAAAGTCACTCTATATGTAATGGCGTTGTTCTCTGCAGTGAGGACGCGGGTGTTGGTGTGCGCATATATTAGTAGCCTATACTGTTCTTCACAACTCTTAATAGCCTATAGGCTAAAAACGCCACTTTTCACAATAGTAATAATAAAAAGTCATATAGCATCTTAATCACTTTTACAATTACAGTTTCAATTAGTCCCAAAATCCAGTTTCCGACATATCATTATAAATACGTTTAAATGGTCAAATACATAACAATATCCAAGTAGCTATAAATCAAATCCTGCATGACAATAAAATTGGAAATTGTGTCGTGAAACCATAGAATTTATTATCGCCTATTAATTTAGGTATTTTGGCAACGCCAGTAAGGGCTAATAGACCCACATTTTAAAAAATAAGCTCACACCAAGAATTTTATCCAGTTAAATCATATATTCGCCGTATCCTTCAATCTTCAGGGGCGCCGTTGTACTTGGTCTTTCCGCGTGAGGGTGCGCAAAAATCTACCGGGAAAAATCAGTAGCAAAGGTTTAAACCCCAAACACCTTATATTTTGGAACATTGATTTACAAAACAGTTGTCAATATGTCATTGCTGCTATTCATTCCCTTTTTTCAGTTACAGAAGATTACTATGCATCTTTATTCCAAAGGCCAATTCGTGTAATGTATACAGATGGATAGTTAATATATTCACCTAAGGGGTGAAATCAGTTCTAAAAGGTAAATGCATGCAGTTTGTGACAGCGTGATTATATAGGAGACAAGGAAATATTGAAAGACTAGTGATAATGTGAGGACAATGTATCATCTAATTAAATTAGAATAATTCTGTAGTTTTTGACAAAACATAGGCCTATGTGAATTTCAGAACACCAGGTTACCATGTAAAATGATGTAATGTCCCTATGACTCTAAGAGTATCTGTGGAAAAAAACTGCCTTACAAATAAATAAAATGGATAGTATTTCTGTATTTAGCACCACATAACACAATCTCTGTATACATTTCAGTGCACAAGGATGGTATAGACAAACAAGAAAGAGGGGAAAGTTTACCTCTGCTGTTATGACCAGAAAATATTAGCAGAATAACAATTATTTAAATGATTCATTTATAACTATAATTTGTGGAAAGACTATTTTTGTACATTACAGAGCTGGGATGGGCCTCAATTTCTTTTTTGGAAAGGGGGAATAAGACTGATTCTATGGAAAAAAATAAGTATGTTGCTATAAGAAAAAATTACAATTTTGTGTCAAATTATCTGAATCGGAAGCCTTAAAGCTCTTTGACATCTGTGCAGAATGCATTTTAATATAATGTACATTTTAGTGAAAATCTGACTGCACTTGCATGGCTTTCAAAATGCCTAAATACATTAACACATCATAAAATCATACATCCAAACTGTCACAGCTTTCTGATAATGACTGATCTTACTGGCAATCTGAGAGTGTAGGATGCACATTTCCCAAAAATGCTCTTTATATGCACGAAATAGATGCTAGTTAAGAATGCTGTCTAATCATTATGGATTGACATGATATGAAACAGCACATCACGGAACTAGCCTAGATTAGGATAAATGTGTAAATGCATTAAGCTTAATCAACTTTATCATTATGTTCTTTCATTACTAAAACTACTGCTACAACACAAATACAATAGCCTTACACTGTCAGAACAAAAATGTCCAAAAGATACCTTTAGGGCTACAACTGATTATCACTGGTCACAACCTCTAAAAGATACATATTTAGTATCCTAGAATACATAAACCCTTTTTGGGATAAGATGTCCTTTTGAGGGTATTGCCCTGATGGTTTCTATCTACTTCTAATCCTTTATTTTATAAATAATTTAAGTGCAGCACATATTAGGGCTGATATTTGCAGTACAACACAAACAAACAAACAAACAAACCTGAAAGCTGAAGTTTTGTAGAGGATAATGTAGGAGGATAATAAAAATAAAAAAAGCCAAACTAAAACAAAGATTTCATTAACCAAGTAAATGTATTATTTCTGATGTTATAGAGTTCAATAGAGAAGAGGTAGGCCAACTAAGAGAAGTTTAAACTGAAGTTATAAGCATAATTAGCATAATCATGGAATATTGAAAAGTTCAAAAAGACATTTTCGATCATTGTGGAGTTAAACTTTGTAAAAAATCGAAAGCTGCACTCAAATATAATTTTAATTCTCATATAATAATAATTATTGTTGTTGTTGTTGTTATTGTTGTTGTTAACAACACAGTCATTGGTATTTTTTCCTGAAACAAGTATGAAGCAAATCTGACGCATAGGTTGTGTACAGTTTAAATTTCAGTAATTATCAGACACACCTGAAACAGCGCATCAGGACCTTTACTTGAACAGCCAGGTGTGTTGGAGCAGGAAACTATAGCTACTATCTCCAGATCAACCTTGCGGTACGTTATAATTCCACGTAAACGTAAAGCCTCGTGGATCATATGCATGCATTATACAAATGAGACTTATTGATACATATAAGCGGTTAAGGAGGCATGGGTGATGAGTCCTGTTTTAAAATGAGAAATATAAGAAGTCTTCACTAAAAATAGCCCTACATATATGTGAAACTTTAAAGATAAAACCATTTTCAAGAACGTCACGATCAAAGTATATTATGCATTTTGGAAGAAAGAGTCCTGCATCAGAGCAATACAGATAAAAATGTGCGCAACCAAGTTTGTGTTCAACACTAGAATCTCCGTTAACGGTTTGTTCAGGTGCACCTGATCTGCCCCAATAAAATACAGCTTTATAATATTGTGTGGTTACATTGCGTGGGAACAGATTTAAACTTTTGAAGGAAGACGAAGATGAAGAGGAGTGAAAGCAAAAGGACACGCAGACTGCAGAGCAATGAAACGCATAACAGACCCTCATTTAAATATCTTTCGTTTTTCTTATTCACATAATAATAATAATAATTTTAATTTTTATGCCCTTTATGATAAAAAAAATAATTGTAGTGAAGCTACTTGAACATTTCAATATTTCGAATAATTAGCCATTGAAAATTAACTTAATGCAGCAACCTAAATAGGCCTGTTAAATGCAGTTTCATAAAATAAATGTATTTTATACAAATACATGACAGCATAAAGAGCACTAATATAAAACTACAGTAATACAAATCGTTTCAAAACAATATAAAAAATTATGTCTGTATTAGGCTATATATTTTTTTATAGCCTATTAGGGGAAATAGCTTGGGGGGAAAACTGCAGTGGTATATCTGCTGACATTATGCAGCCTATAGATTTTTGCAGTTTTGTGCTAAAGACCCAAACGGACACGCCCACAAACAGTGCATATCTTGGTCATTGTATAGGCTACTGATCAGTAACGGGGACTTTTTTATCAACATCAATGCAGACAGTTGTCGTTTCAGTACAGCCAAACTGAGTAGCCTAAAGTACAGTCAACTCACAGTTTTGTCTGTTAATGGAAGCGCAATTTCTATCACCCCTACGCAATATCATGCGCCAGTCTCCAGATACTACAGCCTAGTGGACCCTTTCCCTTTACTGACAAGTGATCAAAGCACTGGTGTTAGTATAACAATATAACCATTGGGCAGTTTGATATCAGGTTAATCTGAAGCGCTACGGATGGGAGCATAATTATGCTACAGTCTGAATACGGGAAATGCAGTATTCGAAGGGGGAAAAAGTGCCAGTAGACTTCAGATGGAGTATTGTTGTTGTCCACCTCAGTTGAAATCGTGTTCCGGGGGCGGGGCGGTCAGAGTACGTGGGCAATACGTGAGAAGTGCCGGTAGCCTACGCAAAAAAAGTGAGTGGTGGGTTTAAAATATAGAGGTGCCAGTACTGGTGCGTATACCCCACTTTGATCACTGGATAGCCTATGCCACAGTCGTGAGATGGAAAGAATAGAGGGCAGCTCTTTTTGTTGCTAAATCCATACGCAATGTAAAACAAAACGTGAAAGTCTCAAGTACTAATGTTAATTACGGACCTTATTCTATTCAGAATCCAAAACTGCTATTCTAAAACAGGAACGGAAGCTGACTGCTAAATGGCAGACAATACGGTAGCCTAGGCCTATAGCCTATAACTGTATGAAAATATACTTGTGTACTATAACTCACAAGAAATAGCCTACAAACTTTAAAATTAGACAAATGGATACATAAATGTTAAAACATTACATCTGAGTGACATATGACATTTGCTTAAGTTTAGTGTCCAAACAAGCTCAACCACATGGTAACTGCAGAACCCATCCACATCGCGTGCAGTCACGTGACATTTTTATCTGTATGCATCACTGTATCATTGCTGTGTCTTTAAAAGGGTCTTAAAGCCACAATAATTAATTAAAAAATTACATTTAAAATATTCATCAGGCTAACTTCCTATATTCAATCGCACTATACCGTGCCTTCGTTCAGCACATTTGAGCCTGACAGCTCCTATAACGATGCACTTAAAGCAAATTCACCCAAATATGAAAATGTTGTCATCATACTCACCCTCATGTCGTTCCAAACCTGTGTGAATTTCCCTCTTCTGCGGAACACAAATGAAGACATTGTGAAGAATATTTCAACTAGTTGCCTTAATAGTAGTTCCAAAACAACATTGGACTAATAAAAAATAAAATAAAATAGGCTATACTTTTTGTGCCGCAGAAGACAGAAATGCATTCAAATTTGGAACGACATGAGGACGGCTAAATGATGACAGAACTTTCATTTCTGGATGAACTAGGCATATCCCTTTGAGCATGAAGAGGGAGCTTCATTGTAAAATAAGGTAGGCATGCGACGCTTATTGCTTATATAAGCAATGCCAGCATATTCTGTCTGGTAACGGTGATTTTTTTATTATAAAATTAGTTAGTTCAAATTCTCTGACAATTTTCCAATTAATTGTCTTTTTAAAAATAAATACATTTTCCTCACATACTTAGGCTATACGGTACTGAAACGCTTTCATCTCTATTATAAACTGTAGACCTCTGCAATTTGGGGACATAAGGATTCTAATGATGGACTTCCAAAAATACAAACATCAAACACCAAGGAACAATCAGGGTTGGCCTATCTCAACGGGGAAGCCACTGTGACAGTATGCAAAAGGAGGTCGATCTTAATTCTCCATAACAAAAAAGTACAAAGGCCGGTCGGAGACCAAAGACAATTTAACACCTCCCTCTGTCCGCGCGCCCCGGCGGCGCCTCAGCGGATAGAGCGCGTCTCTCATTAGTACACAAGATGGGACGACCTGAAAGGTGCAGAGGTGAGGGAGGGGGGGTGGACAGCGACTACAAAAACAACTCATCTTTTCCTTCATAAACGAACTTGGCTCGGAAGACAAGAGTGACGAGAGAAAATTCCTTTTTTTGGGTAGGCCCTGGTCTGGGACTGTTTTGAGGACTATGAGAAGTGTGTGAAAATCCATTTGGGGAATATCTGGATTGCGGACGTGATATAAACGATAAAATGCGTAAGTAGCCAACAACATCCACATTTCAACAACAAGCTGAGAGGAACGTAGCTACACATTTTTTTCATGTCGTTTAAGTAGGCCTGCTGCTGTACAAAATCAACATCTGTGTAGCGAGTTCATTTCATTAGGAAATTAACTTTGGGGCTTTATGGAAACCCCCCTTCTTTCTCCTTGTAAATGTGATGTTCGCAAAGTAAACGAATGCCTAATGTGAAGTAAATTTTCAGTAGCAGAGGGCAGGGAGTCGCCAGTGTCTACTGTTGCTCATGCTGACAGTGATCAAGGAGAGGAAGAGTGCCCTCGTATTTCACTACTGAATGGGATAGACCAGAGTCGGCGGCACCGGACTGCTTTCACGAGGGAGCAGCTGACCCGTCTTGAGCAAGAATACTGCAAAGAAAGTTACGTGTCTCGACCCAGACGATGCGAACTGGCGGCAGCGCTTAACTTGCCCGAGACCACAATAAAGGTAATTCACAGCGCAGACCTTTTCATGCCACACTCAACCTCTGGCCCAACAGGCAGCATTTAAAGAGTTTGCTATTCAAAAGGGTTCATTTAGCCTAAGTATAAATAGTAGACTAACTTCTGCAATCCATGAAAGTCTTCTGAAATATAATTTTTAGTTTTGAGTTTAAGAGAGGATTGTTTGTGTTTTGTAAGACTGTGAGTTACAGACAAGCCAAGAAGCCATAAAATCAGACACCGGATCTCTATCCCTGCTGAAACTGAAAATTTGGTTACATCTACCATTACCTAATCCCACCAACATGCTGTGTCCTTCACTAAGACCCTTTATCACTCTATTTCATTATAGGTCTGGTTCCAGAACAGGAGGATGAAGGACAAGAGGCAGCGTCACAGTCTGCACTGGCCTAACCCACTGGACCCAAACCTGTGTGCCTTCATGGTGAGTCAGGCGGCTGCTGGACTCCCCTACCCACTGCTGCCCCGCTTACCCCTTCATCTATACTCTCATCTCGGCATGGGTAGCCTCCCCGGTTTTTCAAACCCCTACAGCGCCACCACAAGGCCAGTGGACACTTTGCACCTCCCTCCTTCGACCTACCCCTGGCTAGGTGGACTTCCACAGCCGGCTCTCTATTCCCCTGTCCAGACAATGCACCATCCCGCAGGATGCCACTGTCCCCATTGCCTGCACTGGAGACCGGACCACCTGCTTAAACCTAGAGGGGGAGCTAGGACAGGCACGCAGCCCAAAACATTCGGCAGTGCTTCAGGATAATGGGATAGAGGTGCATTTACCATGATAAAACGGATAGTTCACCCAAAAATGAAAATTCCATCATTGTTTACTAAACCTACATGACATTTTCTACAGCGGGACACAAAAGAATATATTTTGAAGATTTTTTTGCCCATACAATTTCTATGGATGTTTTGTATTTATGCGTCTTATTCAAAATCTAGATAATGTCACTCTTGAAGAACTATTTTGTTGTTTACCGTACTGTAATATAGATAACAGTTTGGTTTACTTTCTTAAAATACCTGATCTTTTGAAGTTTGTTCAACATTTTTCATCTATTGACATTTCTGCACCTGAACACTGTGTACATAATGCTTTCCAAAAATATATATGACAAAATTGACTATTAAAAATATTTATGGAAACATTTTACTTAATGTATTGCTGCCTTTTTCTTAATAAAAATATAATAATTAACAATAATAATGGGACTATGCAAGGACAGAAAACAGTTAATGCTGTACTCATTAACATCCTCAAGAATTCATAAAGCTGAATTCACACCAACAATTTTGTCATTGTTTAACACCAACCTGGTGACCAAACAGCACTGTAATCTTAAAGACTACTTATCAACTTACAGACACAAAGCTCCTGTCATTATACTCCTTGCTAGACACAACCTGCTGAATTATGATCTTGAAAATCTAAAATCAAACAGCCTGTAACCAGACAAAACATCAACAGGTGGACAGGGGTGTCTGAGACTCCAGAGGCTCAAAGATCTTGCTCTAATATATAATGTCTGCAAGTGTGCAAGTAAAACGCCTGAATTAATGCATAAAATGACATACAGTGGCAGCAAAATGGACTTGCCACACTGACTGTCTTGAATTTATGAATACACATAATTGTACACATACACATATACAGTTTGGCGTCAGTAAGAATTCTTTTTTGAAAGAAAATACTTTTACTCAGCAAGGAAGCATTTAATTGATCAAAAGTGGCAGTAAATATATTTATAATATACAAAAGATTTATATAAAAAGATGCTTTTTCTTATGAACTTCATATTCACCAAAATCACATTTCCATAAAAAAACATTAAGCCGCACAACTTTTTCCAACATTGATAATAACAAGAAATGTTTCTTGAGCAGCAAATCATCATATTAGAATGATTTCTGAAGGATCATGTGGCACTGAAGAATGATAGTAATGATGCTGAAAATACAGATTTGATCACAGGAATAAATTACATTTTAAAATATATAAAAATAGAAAACAGTTATTTTAAACTGTCATAATATTTCATAATATTACTGTTGCTTTTGATCAAATATATACCGCCTCGGCAAGCATAAATCCCACGAACACCAAAGTTTTGAATGGTAGTTAATTTATTGTTTAATTCACTGCTAACATTGTCTATGAAATTATGACAGTCATGACGTTTAAGAAAAAACACATACACACAACCAAACACTCCAGCTTTCAACACACTCCACTGGAAATTAAGAATTAAGCAGTCCGAAGGTGAACATATCCATATCCAGGTGTGTGGGCTTATTTTACCTCCACCTGCTACAGGTGAACTCTAGTTGAAAGGCTTCTCAATCTGTGTCTCAGCGTAAATAAACCAGCGTCTGGCTTGTGTCATGATAACCCTTACAAGAACATGAGCTGAATGCCCTACATTCAAATTTATTCGTAGCTATATACCAAAACAATTTTTGTGATGTAAAAACTTCAGGGTTGCTGCTTCATATGGATGAATTATTAAAGTATTTTTTCTGGTATTTGCAAGGAATGTCATAGCATTACTTTAGACAGAATGCATTTAAAAACATGGTTTGTAAAATAATAATAATTAACCTACACAAAATGTATCGTTAATATGGATGCATGTAACATTGTCACATCTATGCATGTTTAGAGGTGTAAAAACCAACACTTTGGATGCTTAGATCATTAGAGACATCAGCAGTACCCTTGTCTGAGTCTGACAATAACTCAATGGGTGACGTCTGCAGTAAAGCCTTGGCAATAGGTGGGAAATGACAGTAAAGAAGAAAAAAAAAACTGCTCCTGTGAATTGCGAGTGATGTGGTAAATTGGGACAGACTGTAAAGAGATTCTGCTCTGGGGACTGTGGGAACACCGATTGAGCACACAGTAGTGGATCCTCTTTTGTCTGGAGAGCACTACCGTGTGATTTTTACAACTTCCTGCTCCTAACGCTGCCTCGGCCTTGAGGGACTGCAAGTTCTCCATTAACCTTCCTCATCCAGCCTTAGTATATAAATATATTACTTAAAAATATGCCTCTTCTTATTTCCTATTTGAAATATTTTAAAGAACATTGTATACTTAATCAACGCAGCCACACATCCACATTTTTTAAAACATCTTAACATAGTTAAAGGAAGTTGCTTCAAAATGCATCATAAGCAGATCAATAAGTTTCTGTTTCATTTTAATATTGGGTAGTTCAGAAGCTAGTAGTTGCAAATTATGTAAATTATGTTTGTTTGAACTTTGTATTCATCAAAGAATCCTGGTAAAAAAAAAAAGTATCAACATTGATAATAATAAATGTTTCGAGAGCAGCAAATCATATAATGCTTTCTGAAAGATCACGTGGCAGCTTTGCCATCACATCACATTTTTATTTTACAATATTACTGGTTTACTGTATTTTTGAACAAATAAATATATAGCCAGTGTTGGGTGTATTACTGTAATTTAATCACTTTTCCCTTGAAAAACTAAAGTAAGGGATAACTCTTACTTTTTCTGTAATTTAATTACAGTTAGGCCTACTTGTAATTACAATAAATACTGTATAGACTACATAACATGTGATAAAATGTGTGTTTTTAATGTAACCTTCTCCCTTTAAATTCTTCGGTCAGTTCAAGAATAAGGGTATGTTTACATGACAACGATGTACTAAACATTGTCAAAACGATCCCGTTCACACAGATCTGCGAAAATGACTAAAAAGGCTGTATATGCATGCCAGGCCAGTAGGTGGCGATGGCACTTTGTCAAGAAACACCCCGCGGACACATAATACACGTGCGCATGATATCACCGTTTTCACAAAGTCATGTTTTTGTTGTTTACATGGAGACGGTAAAGGCATCGTTATCAAAACCTTTCACTTTGAAAACCGTTTTCAAAAGCTTGCATTTTCAGGCCCTCAAAACGCCACTGTCGAGTAAATGAATGACCAAAATACATAAAAAGTTTTCCGTTTTCAGTTGAAAACGGTGTCATGTAAACATACCCTAATTAATGCAATATTACATTATTTATTGACATATTTAAAAAAGCAGTTTCATGTCTACCCTTGTATTGTTCAACTGGTCAAGAGAGTCATTAGTACAGTATTTATAATTATTAATTAATTAATTATTAATTAATATTCTTTTTTTTTAGAATTAAGTATCCAACACTGTTTATAGCCTTGGTGAATATAAAAGACTTCTTTCAAAACTTAAAAAAAAAAACCTACCAATCCAAACTTTTAAACAGCAGTGTATTTACACGTTTCCACCACGCCTGAAAATGACTTCGCTTTTTCCAAGCATCTTCCAGTCCTGGACTTCCCACACTGTCACTGGCCACCCATCCTGATTTTTGCTGCTTTTGCCTGCACATGAAAAAAAAACTCCAAGAGGCCAAAAGTGTTAAAGGTATGAATGGCACAGGTACAGTACAAGATTATCACCCAAATAAAACACAAGTAAACGTGACGCTATTTGGCTCATAAAACAGCAGCAAACATGCTCTGGCTCAAGCATTGGATTTCCACATATATTCACATTCTCGTTCCCTCAGACAACATCAAGTACACACTACATTCACTTCAAGAGGCCCAAAGCAAGAAAGGGAGAGAAAGGAGTGACTGGAAAGAATAGTTTACTTTTTGTGGGTCACTAAATACAGAAACGCGATTAGGAAAAGCCACAATAAGTTTAAAAGGAAATTAAGTCAATTTTGAAGTTAATTAAGGAAAATGAACTCTCAGAGACACATTAGCACCTCAGGGAAACCAGCAGTCTATCTTATACAGTGAAACAGATGTATCACAAACAGCTGTAAGAGCCAAAATTTCTAAGTGTAACAATTACATGGGTCTAATACAATCAAGCATATGCACTGAGCTTTACATATTGCTATAGCTGAAAGTGAGATGGGCAATTTAATGGTATATGTAGTGGGCACAGAAAGCTTTGTAAGGTTCAAGAGGAAGCCACACTGAAGCTGGTGTGTTTGCCAACAACCACAGCTGCATCGTCTTATGGATGAATGATGGCCTAAAGCTGCAGAAAGCAATTAGCCAATAAATATGCAAGCGTTTGTCCCGCTAAACAACTTCCCTGTACAGAGAAAAAACCCTAAGGTTATGACAATCTCTTAAATTCACTAAATTATTGTTCAATATTTATTGTTATTTAAAATTTAGCTGTTTAATTTTAGCCAAAGTATCGTACAGTAGCCTATTGCAAGAACAGACACAGACATCATTATGCCCCTTTACAAAGTCTTGATTTTGATTTGGGCTCTTAATAGGTTTTCATGTTTGAATGTTCAAAAACATTCCTTATTTTTTACACCTCTCTTTCCAGTCTGCTTAGCTCCTAATCCTGTCTCTCTAAAGCCCCTCCTTACAAAAAGCACAATGTGCTCTGATTGGTCGGCTGGATCAGTGTGTTGTGATTGGTCAGCCACTTCGAGTGTGCTTCATGTGCCCCTCTACCATAACCATGTTAGATCCGGTCTGTCTTTTGGATATGAGATAACACACTACTTGCAACTTAACGTATTGGGAGGAAAATTATTTAAATGAGTAATATTGTGACGTGTACATACCAGGAAGAAAATTTAAGACTACAATCGAGGCATTTCACGGAATTACTGATATAGAGAAGAACGTCCTGGTTGCGAATGCAACCCACCGTTCCCTGAAGGAGGGAACGTCAGACGTAGTCGACGTCGACTGAATGGGGATCACGCTAGGGAGCCAATCGTCTTCGAGTACAATTGAACAAGCCAATGGAATTGGCGTACCTGATGACATCACACACTCCGCCCCCGCAGCGTGGGTATAATTAAGGAAGTGGATGCACACACTAGTTGGTTTTTCGCTGAGGAGCCGAGCGTAACTCGGAGTCAGCGGTGGTCCAGCAGTAGTGGCAAGGGGACTACGTCCTCCGTTCCCTCCTTCAGGGAACGGTGGGTTGCATACGCAACCAGGGCGTTCCCTTTCAGTCGAGAACGTCAGACGTAGTCGACGTCGACTGAATGGGGATCAACCATTCAACACGCCACTAAAGCTGCCACCTTCCAGTGCCTAGACAAAAGCCTCCTGATCCCCCCGCAATTTAAGGCAGAGAAGGGACAGGGCTTAGGCCAGGGAA